CCCCCCCCTCCTCCTCCGAGTTTCCGAGAGGAAGGAGCAGAAAAAAGAGTTTTGGAGGAGGCCAAAGGCAGCTCAGCCTTCAAGATGTGGGGAGACCCCCAAGCCCTCTACTGCCCGGCTCTCCAGAGCCCCCGAGAACTCCCGGCACACTCAGGCGTCACAGAGGGGAAGGGGCCTTGGAGGTCCTCTAGTCCATCCCCCCTCCGTCATTCCGGACAAAGGGCTGTCCAGACCTGGGCGATAGGAGGAAGGGGGAGCTGCCTAACTGAACCATACCCCTCCCCGATCTCCCCCCCCCAACGCCCCTCACTTCTCCATCCTGACACAACTCCCTTTCTCCTCCCAGTTTGCTCCAGTGGGGAAGGCACCAGGCCAGCAGCCAGGAAGCTGGGAGTTCTAGTCCCGCCTGAGGCATGGAAGTCGCTGGGTGACCTGGGGCCAGTCCCTCCCTCCCAGACCTGTCCACCTCACAGGGTTGTTGTTCTGGGGGAAACAGAAGGACTATTGTGTGTGCTGGCCACCTTCAGTTATTTGTAAAAAATAAGCAAAGTGAAATAAAAATAAATTTTAAAAAAGGCCACCTTGAGGAAAGGCCTTGGTGGAGATGGGGGGCAGGAGGGCAGGAAAACAAGCCAGACGGAGGGACCGGCATTGTGGGGGGGGCAGCAAAGAGGATCCTGGCACCGTTTCCTGCTGGCTCCCAGGGCGGAGAAGGGGAGCTCCAGGGGTCTCAGAGGGAGGGTCCCCAGGATATCTGCCTCTCAGGGGTCCCTTTCTCCCTCCCTCCCATCCTATCCACTTGGGGGCTCTGCAAGGCTCTCCCTGGACGTCTCCTCTCCTCCGCCTGGGCTGGGAGACCCTCAGGGACACAAAGACCCCTCACCTCTGCATCTTCCCAGGTCTTGAGTTGTTTGAAGGGCTTGTAGCAATACCGGCAAAAGGAGGACCAATCAGAGGGACAATCAGCTCCAGTACCTGTGAGGGAGGACAGGAGGCCCAATGAGAAGAGGGGGGGTCAGGAAGGGGGAGCAGGAGGGTGGACGGGGAGGGGGAGACAGCTGGGTCTGCAGAACAGGCTTAACCTGCTGTGATGCAAACATCTTTGATGACAATAAATTGCAACCGACTTGCAGCTTCCTTTGCAGATTGTCCAAACCTCGGTTAGAGTTAACCCTGGTTTAATTCCCTGGAAGCTGCATGTCTGGTGTGTCTCTGTCCACGTTGGGTGCCTTTTTCATTCCGTGAAGGGTGCAAAGGCAGAAATGGGCTCCTTCACGAACAGATTAACCTCTGCAGACCTGCCTGGGCCTCAAGTCCCAACTGAGCCAATTTGGCCTAGTGGTTAGAGCACCTGGCTAGGAAGCCGGAGACCAGGAGTTCTATTTTTATTTTTTTATTTATTTTTTATTTTTATTATTTTAATTT